GACATTAAACTGTTAGCGTAGACCTTATCTCTATGTTGGCCCTAAACAGAAGTCTGAAGGTTTTAAATCACATGATCTATGTGACCAATTTCATAACATCATCGAGAGATACAATATTCCAAAAATTTTTCCCTATAAACAAACCATGGTCTCCGTCCTAAAAATATCCGAAATCATCTGTTGATATCGAAATCCAAACATCGTAATTGTTGATACAATCCCAATTACGAAAAAAGGAAGGAACATAAATTGTCAGTCACACCTTGAGTGTGGAGAGGCTTCTCAACAATACCTATTTAGTTTTCCGAATCCCAGATGCCATAATTTTGTTTGTTGATCTCTTGATAGCGTAATCCAGTTACCGTAACTGTTTATCTAATGTCATTATCGAAAAAGAAAAGTCCAATGAACCTGACGGGCCACAAACTGCACCGGACAGTCACACCTCGAGGATGCAGAGGCTTCTCAACAATATCTCTGGGGTTTTACGAGCTCTAGATGTGATTATGTTGATTGTTCATCTCTAGATAGTGTAATCCAGTCCTTGTTAAGGTCCAGAAGAATCAAATAGACAACAAACAGCACACTTTGAGGATAGAGAAGTTGTTCTTGTGCTTTCCGAGCATGCAAATTATGTATCGAAACATGTTCGTTATGTAAAAGATGTATCTGCAACATTTTCGTTATGCAAAATGTGTATCTGCAACATTTTCATAACGATAAGCTTTGATCCGCAACATTCTATGCACGAAAAGATTTTGTCGATCACATTTCGGTCGTAAAAAAAGTGTATTCGAAATATTTTCCCAATGATAAAATATATATGGATGAAATATTATCGAAAACACTTTTCTACACCGTATTACCGTAATCTGTTTTTTCTTGGATTTTCCGAGCCCCAGATGATATTATTTCGATTATTGATTTCTTGAGAGCTAAACCAGTCCTTGTAAAGATCCAGAAGAATCCAACAGCACAAACTGAGAGTGGAGAGGCTGTTCGTGTGTTTTCCGAGGATGCAAAAGATGTATCGCAACATGTTCGTTATGCAAAAGATGTATTCGCAACATTTTCGTTATGCAAAATGTGTATCTGCAAAAATATTTTTGTCGATCACATTTCGGTCGAAAAAAAAAATATATTCGGAATATTTTCCCAATGTAAAATATATCGATAAAATGCCGTATCTTCTCTTGGGTTTTCCGAGCCCCAGATGCACACTTTGAGAGTCGAGAGAATGTTCGTGTGTTTTCCGAGCATGCAAAATATGTATCGCAACATGTTCGTTATGAAAAATATGTATCCGCAACATTTTCGTTATGCAAAATATGTATCTGCAACATTTAATTAACGATACTCGTTGATCTGCCACATTTTCTACACGAAAATATTTTATCCGTATCTTCTCTTGGGTTTTCCGAGCCCCAGATGCACACTATGAGGGTCGAGAGGCTGTTCGTGGGATTTTTCCGAGCATGCAAAATATGTATCGCAACATGTTCGTTATGCAAAAGATGTATCCGCAACATTTTCGTTATGCAAAATGTGTATCTGCAACATTTTATTAACGATACTCGTTGATCGGCCACATTTTCTACGCGAAAATATGTTATCCCACACATTTCGGTGGTGAAAAAATTGTAACCGAAATATTTTCCCAGTGATAAAATATAATCGAAAGCGCTAGTCTACAGAAAAAATATTTTGGTATAAAAAATAATAACCGTGTCTTTTTGCTTCAACAGGGATACCGATTACATATATCTGGATATGTCTATGTATTTGGTCAGATCCGGTATAACATGTTTGGTACCAGCGCCAAGGTAAAATAACCTTTGTGAACTTATCGTCCATTCAAAAACAAAATTTCTTTTAGACGTTTGGCAAGTTGGATTTTACCCCTCGAACCTTTTCAATTCACTCTCTGGTTAGCTGTTTTGGTCTATCTCTTTGTAGAGGTCATTAGTCTGGCCTTGACCTATCGATTTGAGACGAGATTTGTGTCCGCAATGAGTGACTCTTGGCCGGAGAGTTTAAATTTTGGTATCGTTACAACTCTTAAATTATTTGTATCACAATCGGGATCGAAAAAGGTAATTTCACAGACGGTGAGGGTTTTGCTATTCACATGTTTCCTAAATGATCTGATCATAACCAGTATTTATGGTGGAGGATTGGCCAGTATTTTAACGGTGCCAAGGTAAGAGGAGGGATTGTTGGAATATTGTATTTGGAAAAATTATCGATTTTTTTGTTAAAGTTATGATGAAGCTGCCGATACCTTGGATCGTATGTGGTCTCACAAATTACAATGGGCTGCAAATTCGGAGGCCTGGGTCTCCGCCATACGCAATGCAGAAGATGTAGGAACAATCTGATATTAAGTGATATATTTCTATCTAACCTCAATTAAATGTTCTAGGATCGTATTAATGGCATTTTGGAGAACTTCTTTATATATTCCGATGAAAAACTGGAACAGTTGGCTAGCTCACCATCAAGTTGGGGCTTTACTGTGGAACGTTTGCCATTTGGTAGGTTTTAATAATGGAGTTAAGGAGATATCTCAATAACTTGTTCGTTCTTATAGGACACTTTGCTATTGGCGATTATCTGACCACGGAAAGTATCAATCATTTGAAAATAATGCAGGAGGATTTATATTTCCAATATACTGTGGCCTTTACCGCCCGATGTTGGCCCATGTTATCGGCTTTTGATAACCTGATTTATTGGTGGCATTCGGCCGGGTTGGATAACTATTGGGAATGGCGTGCTGTGGCCGATAATATGAATGTCCAAAAGCAGAAGCAGGTTGAGGCCACGCTCTATTCGAATATCGAAGATATGGGTCCCGTAAAATTGGGTATGGCCAATTTTGTTGGCATTCTCTTGCTTTGGATGTTGGGTATAACCATTTCGTTTCTGGTATTCTTATATGAGGTGTTGAGAGATTATGTTGAGCGAAAGAAGAGAGGAGAGTAAAAATTAGAACACTTTGTGCACAATTTTTGTAGAGAGTAGAGTAGAAATTACACCCAAATAAATGTACTTAAAAATTTAAAAAAATAGAAATATTTTATTTTTTTTCGGGGGAACAAATTTTTGGGGAAAAATTTTGGGTGAAATTTTTTTTCGGTGAAAAATTTTTTCGTGTAGAAAATTGTTCGGGGAAAAATTTGTCGGTGAAAAAATTTTTCGTTATAGAAAAATTTTTCGTTATAGAAAAATTTTCGATGAAAAAATTTTTCGTTATAGAAAAATTTTCGATGAAAAAATTTTTCGTTATAGAAAAATTTTCGATGAAAAAATTTTTCGTTATAGAAAAATTTTCGATGAAAAAATTTTTCGTTATAGAAAAATTTTCGATGAAAAAATTTTTCGTTATAGAAAAATTTTCGATGAAAAAATTTTTCGTTATAGAAAAATTTTCGATGAAAAAATTTTTCGTTATAGAAAAATTTTCGATGAAAAAATTTTTCGTTATAGAAAAATTTTCGATGAAAAAATTTTTCGTTATAGAAAAATTTTCGATGAAAAAATTTTTCGTTATAGAAAAATTTTCGATGAAAAAATTTTTCGTTATAGAAATATTTTCGATGAAAAAATTTTTCGTTATAGAAAAATTTTCGATGAAAAAATTTTTCGTTATAGAAAAATTTTCGATGAAACAATTTTTCGTTATAGAAAAATTTTCGATGAAACAATTTTTCGTTATAGAAAAATTTTCGATGAAACAATTTTTCGTTATAGAAAAATTTTCGATGAAACAATTTTTCGTTACAGAAAAATTTTCGATGAACAAATTTTTCGTTATAGAAAAATTTTCGATGAACAAATTTTTCGTTATAGAAAAATTTTCGATGAACAAATTTTTCGTTATAGAAAAATTTTCGATGAACAAATTTTTCGTTATAGAAAAATTTTAGATGAACAAATTTTTCGTTATAGAAAAATTTTCGATGGAAAAATTTTTCGTTATAGAGAAATTTTCGATGAAAAAATTTTTCGTTATAGAGAAATTTTCGATGAAAAAATTTTTCGTTATAGAAAAATTTTCTATGAAAAAATTCTTCGTTATAGAAAAATTTTCGATGAAAAAATTCTTCGTTATAGAAAAATTTTCGATGAAAAAATTTTTCGTTACAGAAAAATTTTCGATGAAAAAATTTTTCGTTATAGAAAAATTTTCGATGAAAGAATTTTTCGTTATAGAAAAATTTTGGATGAAAAAATTTTTCGTTATAGAAAAATTTTCGATGAAAAAATTTTTCCTTATAGAAAAATTTTCGATGAAAAAATTTTTCGTTATAGAAAAATTTTCGATGAAAAAATTTTTCGTTATAGAAAAATTTTCGATGAAAAAATTTTTCGTTATAGAAAAATTTTCGATGAAAAAATTTTTCGTTATAGAAAAATTTTCGATGAAAAAATTTTTCGTTATAGAAAAATTTTCGATGAAAAAATTTTTCGTTATAGAAAAATTTTCGATGAAAAAATTTTTCGTTATAGAAAAATTTTCGATGAAAAAATTTTTCGTTATAGAAAAATTTTCGATGAACAAATTTTTCGTTATAGAAAAATTTTCGATGAACAAATTTTTCGTTATAGAAAAATTTTAGATGAACAAATTTTTCGTTATAGAAAAATTTTAGATGAAAAAATTTTTCGTTATAGAAAAATTTTCGATGAACAAATTTTTCGTTATAGAAAAATTTTCGATGAACAAATTTTTCGTTATAGAAAAATTTTCGATGAACAAATTTTTCGTTATAGAAAAATTTTCGATGAACAAATTTTTCGTTATAGAAAAATTTTCGATGAACAAATTTTTCGTTATAGAAAAATTTTCGATGAACAAATTTTTCGTTATAGAAAAATTTTCGATGGAAAAATTTTTCGTTATAGAGAAATTTTCGATGAAAAAATTTTTCGTTATAGAGAAATTTTCGATGAAAAAATTTTTCGTTATAGAAAAATTTTCGATGAAAAAATTTTTCGTTATAGAAAAATTTTCGATGAAAAAATTCTTCGTTATAGAAAAATTTTCGATGAAAAAATTTTTCGTTACAGAAAAATTTTCGATGAAAAAATTTTTCGGTATAGAAAAATTTTCGATAAAATAATTTTTGGGTATAGAAAAATTTTCGATGAAAAAATTTTTCGTTATAGATTTTTTCGTATTGAAAAATGTTCGGGGAAAATTTTTCGTTGAACACAATTTTCGAGTTTTATGCCTTTTTGGGGCGTCTAGAGAAATATTCGGTGGAGAATATGTTTTCGTATTGAAAAAAGTGTTCAAATATGTTGCGCCAAAAACTTCAGTACATTCAACTTTCTTTCTGTAAAATCAATGCCCATCAAATATATATGTCGTAATCGTTGCTTCCGTATTGGTATTGCGGTACCCCTCCACTATTACGTTATAGTACATTTCTCTACTTTCTGTTCGAATTTTCATTACTTCATACTAGGCATGCATTACACGCACATTTCCTGCCCTTTTACAATTTCAATGAACCATAAGCGGAACATGTTGCAGAACGTTACGAGACCTTGGCATTCGCCGTTGCATTTAAGGGGGGAAATGATGCAATTTTCTACACTTTTTCTTTGGCCAGTGAAATGCTGCTCTCTGCCGCTGATTGTTACAACACAGATCGATCGATAGATAGACATTTAACCGATATTGTTGTTGCATTCCAAACGGTTCGGTTATAAATCGAATTGAATTTCTTTCTTTCTCTATTTTTTTTCCTATCTTTCATTAGTAGCGGTGCAAAACCGCCCATTAATTCCCGTTGGAGTTACTTTAATTCAGTTACGGTGGATGTTACTGTTCGATTGTGCCCAGTTCGGTGCAGCGCACCGTTCCGTTGCGATCTCTATTGCCATTATATAATTAGATGGTAAATGTTGTCGTTTTCTTTATCTTCTTCTTTCCCTGATCATTTGCTGGCAATTGCTAAGACCCCATTTGAAGCTACCTTCCATCAAATAGCTGCCATAATATTTACACGATGGCACACACAGCAAGTGAAGTAATGATGACCAGAAGAATTTCTTCTTTTTGCGTAATACGGAGAGTGTTCCGTCTCCATTTGTTGTTGTCATTATGACCACCAGGGAAAAGCGGTTAATATTTGTGGCGATTAGAGACATTTATAAATTACATGGAAGGTTGTGCGTTTGTTTCTGTTGTTGTTGTTACTGTATTAAATTTCTTCAATTTCCTCTAAATTCAAGCTATTGCTGGCGGGCCGCTTAACCACTTCCCCACCTCTGCCAGAGGGGGGCATCATTATAATATGTCCACTCACAGCCGGTGGACTTTCTTCATTTACATAATATTAATCAACATTTTATTATGTCATGTACTTGATGTTGGAGTTGTTGTTGTTGTTATTTTATTTATTTAAATAATTTTTAATCGTAAACATGATTTAAATGTTTTGTGCCTCATCTGCGTGTGAAATAATATGGCCACATAATGTAACAAAGCTCTACAAAGTCTCATGCGACATATTTATCTATTAATTGTGAGGAACAACAACAAAATAGACAAATTTATTTTATAATGGAACTTGTTTGGAAAATAAAACTATTTTTAGAAAAATACGAAGTTTTAACAAATGTTCAAGTTAATATTTTGTCTACAGCAATTTATATACAGGGTTGCCCATAGTCGACGGATTCATGTTTTGTTTTTAAAAAAATCAAAGAAAAAAATAAAAATTTGGCAGTTGGCAATGTTAATCATTTAATTTGTTCCAAGTAGATTTGTTTACATCAATTTTTGAATATGATATCTCTCAAATGGCCGCCTCTGGCGTTGATGACGTATTGTGGCCTTTTTGCTGCATTTTCCATCGTTTTTGCCAACATTTCGGTCGGAATAGCGGCTATTTCTTCACGAATGTTGTCCTTGAGCTCTTTTACGGTCCTTGGCTTGTTAACGTAAACCTTTGACTTCAAATATCCCCACAAGAAGAAGTCAGGCGGCGTCAAATCGGGCGAACGCTATTGCCAGTCCAAATCACCACTTTTCGACACCAAACGGGCGCGGAAACAAATTCTTCAGCAAATCGATTGTTATGCGACTTGTGTGCGGTGGAGCGCCGTCTTGTTGAACCCAGAACTGCCTCATACGCTTTCGACGAATAATTGGCATCACAAAATTGGTCATCATGTCGCGATAACGCTCCTGATTGATGGTAACAGCATGGCCATTTTCATTTTGGAAGAAAAACGGCCCAATGACCGTTTTCGCACTAACGCCGCACCAAACTGTGACTTTTTCGTCATGAAGAGGCACTTCTTAAATCTCCTGAGGATTTTCAGTGGCAACTTTGCTTATTTACGGTCCCATTCAATGTGAAATGGGATTCATCGGACATGATAATTTTCTTCGAAAATTGATCGTCATCTTCGGCCATTTCGATGACTCTTTGGGCCCATTACAATCGACGAGACTTGTCCGCAGGCAACATTCTTTGCGTCAGTTGAATTTTGTACGGGAACAAATCAATGCGAATAATCCGTTGTAAAGTGGACCGAGCCATGCCCAACTGCTGAGAACGGCGTTTTTGGGATGTTCTTGTGATGTTCTCGGCCGATCGCCTTGGTCAACTTTTATATGGCCTCTTCGGATTAGAAAGAGCCTTACCAGTCGAAAATTTTTCGTACAAATGCTTAATGGTGTTCTTAGAAGGCGCACTTCTCACATTTTTTTATGTTTTAAAAGCACGTTGAGTTTTCACAATTGACTTCTTCTGTTGAATAGAAATTTCAACTATTTCAGAGCGCTCGCGTGGCGTGTATTGGTTCATGGTAAAAATCTGCTTGGACTGACGCTTCAAACGCGGTATGTCATTAAGCGATGTGACATCTCTGTCAAAAGTTATGGCGATGCCAGATGGGTCCGTCGAATATGGGCAACCCTGTACAAAACACATTTAAATTTAAAATGTAGTTATTAAAACTAT